GGGTGGGGCTCCACGAGGCAGCTGTGATGCGAAGTGTCACATGCCTTTTTGACTCATGCTCTTCCCCTGCTCCAAACTCCTGGCACCGTGGCACAGAGGGCATCTGGGACACTCCGTGCCAGCATGGTGTACACGTCCCATCTCTTCAGCATGGCTGTAAGTCCCCGGAGGCTTATGGCATGTGAAACCTGATCGAGGGGCTCTGAGCAGCCTGCGTCAGCAAATATTCATCCATAATGGGCTTCCGTCAAATTTCCGAGGCCGCCATGTTGCATCACCGTCCTGAGCCCAGGGCAGGACCATGGACGGAGAGAGACACCCGGTCAAGCCACGGTTCGAGGAGAAATTGGAATGGAAGAATGGCTGGACCTCCCTGTCACGGCTAGAGGTTTCTAGAGAGAGGCAGAGTCCACAGGCATCAGAGAAATTTTCAGTTTGGGTGACTAATATTTCTTAAGACTCTTGCCAAGGACTCTTGTATCTAGAGCCCTTTCCCTAACAGCACCCCCCGCCCACCATTGCTGTCTGCCTCAAGTGCTACCCATGGCTTCTCCTCTCCTTTCTGGCAGCACAAACCAACGGGCCTTGCCTAAGAGCAGTAGAATTATAGGATCTCCAATTTGGCAGGACCCTTTCATGCAAATATCTAAGACCCTACCCAGTTGTTGTTGTTGTCGTTGTTTTTAATTTTGCTGCTGCAAGAATAAAGAATTTGCTGTGGGTGTGGGGATAGGGCCACATTGGCACATTTTTCTCTGGCTGTTTCCCCTTTTCCAAGGCTGTGGGTAACTCTGAGCTCGTTGCCCCAGGAAAGGGATGCAGCTGGTCAGAAAGTGGAAATAACCAATGGACACTTTCTGTCTCTTGTCTGGGGGTGGGGGGTTGGCACTTAGAGTTTTGGAGATGACATGAAGACAGAATGTGTGGGAGAAGCAGGGGTCAAAGGGACATCACTTCTTCCAGTCCCTTCCTAGAATAGGATATCCTGCGGTTTGAGGAAGGAGGCAATGGGAACTGAGAGAATGACGGGTCCAGGAGCCAAGTGCCCTTCTTTCTAGGCAGTACCCCCGGGGGAGGTGGCAGGACCCCAAAGAGGAAATGGCTTCTTACAGAGTCTCAGCACAGTGGTCCGTCACCTCTTAAAGTTTCCCGGCCCTTAAGTGGTGCAGCCACACATCCATGTGAGGCCCCCATCCGGGGTCATGATGCAGGCCAGATGCTGTCTCAGGGTAAGCCAACGTGAGCAGGCAGCTGAGGCCCAGAAGGCTCCCGCTCCCCCAATTTCCTGGCCAAGGCACATGTAAATCCCTCTAGGGCCTTTTTCTCAGCCCCCAAGAAAGAGGGTGAAATTAAAAATTACCTGAGCTTGTTACTCTTCACCTGAAAAGAGGAGGATTGAACGTGGAATTGAGTTGAGTTAAAAAATTATTGTTTCTCTAGATTAACTGAGTCTGTGAACCAAGACCCATCCATCTACTGTACATGTAAAACACCTATAACTACATAATAAATGGCCAAATGTTATCTGTATTATTAATACTATTTACATCAGTGAATTTGAAGTCAGCTACAAAATCTGAAAGGTGATCTTTCACACGGATGACAGCCAGTCGGCCGCCACGTGGTTCCTACATCCAGATAGAAAACCGTTGATCCAGTTTACTGCTCTTTCAAAAGCCACTCTTAAAAAAAGAAAAATGTTAAAGATGTATAGTCACTTTAGGAGAAAGAGGGAAGAAGAGAGGGCAGAGCGTATGGCTTCGTTCCCTGGAGACTGGTCCTTGTCTCTGTTTCGCTCAGCCCTCTGCCGGTTCTTGGGCAAGTAGAGGAACGCGCGTGCGTTTCTGTTACACTTGGCACTCTGCTGGGTTTGACCGTTCATTCCAACTGTGTGACTTTTGAGTCCCGGTTATATTAACAAGATTCTGGCTGCCCGCTTTATGTCAGAGCATCAGCTCATCTAAAAAAAATTTTTTAAGGAGAGAAAGAAAGACTACATGTGCATGAGTGGGGGGTGGGAGTTGTGGGGCAGAGGGAGAGAGAGAGACTCTTAAGCTCAGCACAGAGCCCACCACGGGCCTGGATCTCACAACCCCGAGATCATGACCTGAGCCTAAATCAAGAGTCAGACGATTAATGGACTGAGCCACCCACGCACCCCACCTCATCTAAAATTTGGTCAACACATGTCTCTCAGTCCTCATCACCAGCCCCTTTCTCCTTTCCTTACATAGCAGTGCTACCTTTGTTCTAGTCTCAGCTCTCTTCCTCACCCCTCTGAGATACCCCGGCACTGTGAAAACTGAACAACCGTGTGAGCTGATGATTCCCAGACCAGCATGAGTGGAGTGAACAGAGAAATACAGATTGCAGAGTTGGATAAGGTCAGGACACTGAATTGATATGGATTGGGGATATCCTCAAACTTCACTAAAGTCGAAGGCCCAAGGACCCAGAAGTATAAGCGGAAAGGGAACAGGAAGACCTGTCCCTTCTCTCTTGGTATTCTCCTGTGAGACTGGAGAATCGGTCCTTAGGGAGAAGTTCTACCCAAGGCATCTGGATGACAGCTGCCTATTTAGTGAGAAATGTTGGACAACGATCCAGACAAAGAATAGGATTTCATTTTCATAGAAGAATTGAGGACTTCATACCTTCTTTCTTTGTGGTCCGCCCTTTTACTATAAGTCTAAGTGGAGATGCCCCTGGCTTACTGGTGACAGGAGTGAAGTTACTGACAGCTACAACTTCCAATTACTCCAAGGTATACACACACACACACACACACACACACACACACACACACAATATGGGAGCAGGACTTCCACTACTACTGTATTTTCCAGGGTTATTAAAATAAACTGACCTGGGATTTAGAATTGATGTTGAGGAAACATTACCATATTAGATGTAGAAACTGTATAATAATGAAATGATCTGTAGGCAAAATATATCCTCTCTCTGGGTACGGTTCTCTAAATAGAGCTTTCTTGGTTAATACTGAGTACATTAAAGTCAGTAATGATAGCAGTATGTAGAATGGAATATCACTGTTAAATTCCAAATAACTGATGAAATACCAACTTAAATTAATGTACTTCACGTTATTTATTTTTCTGCTCCACAGAGGTGAGTTGGCACGAAGCTGAACTGCTCTCTAAAGCAGAACTAGAAATTTCTTTCTTGCAAGATTATGGAGAAGGAAATTAAGCCAAAAAATATAATTTAAATCTGAAAGAGGCAGATCTAATATTTATCAACCATCTCTACTAGATTAAAATATTTAACCCCCTCAAAGTCATCTGAGGCATAGGTGGGAAGACGAGTGCATTGAGGCAGAAACTGAGACTTAGGAATGTAAGTAGCTAACTGAACAGCACGCGGCCGGCGAGTGGCAGAGGCAGGGTGCCCACCGAGGTACATCTCGTGCAGGTGTCTGACTACTAGCTCCGCGCTCCTTCCCAGGGCGCCTCATTTACCGTCCAAGCCATTTTACGGGGAAGAGAACCAATAATGCATTTCTTCTCTCTCCTGACAGATGAGAAACCTACAGCTCAGAGTAATGAGTGTCTTCCCAGAGTCAAACCCACTTTTTCACAACGGATTTGCCACCAGAACACAGATATGAAAACCATCCCTGAATCTAAGCCAAAAGGGAAAAGGAAAAGATTTGTGTTAATATCATTGTCTCTAGACATGTGGACTAGGACAGGCCTACCACCACCTGATCTCCAAAGTGGTGGGATCGACAAAAAAAAAACACAGGAAAATTGGAGCAGGAAGCTGCTGAGGAGGGAAGGGGCTCCTTGAAGTATGTCTGGGTCTTGGATACCCCGAAAGTGGAATGTGAGGATGGTAAGACCCTTGATACATCCCTGTAGAAATTCCAGACCAGCAAGTGGTGCGTAACCATCACTAGTGCCCCGGGACACACACTTCACAGACGCACCTTCCACCGACGGGACTTCTTGATCGTTGCTGCTGCTGTTGCTGACTCTAAAACAGACATTTCCAAGAATGGGCAGACCTGGGAGCGTGACCTTCTGGCCTACACACTGGCTGTCAAATGACTCATTGTTGGTGGTCACAGAGTGGATTCCACAGAGCCACGTTCCAGCCTAAAGAGGGACAAGGAAATCAGGAAGAAGTCAGCACCTGCATTAAGGACTTGGCTACAACCCCAACACAGTAGCATTTGTGTCCATTTGTGTCCAGACTCTATGTGGAATGAAGACCACATGCTGGGGCCAAGTGCAAACACGCTCTGATTCGAGGGCTGGCCAGTCACCCGTAAAGACGGCAATGCCAGTGGAGCCACGCTTCCGGAAGTTCTAGACTGCATCCTGCCACCAGCTTGTCCAGCTGACAAGCCCTGGCAACTGCCCCTCCGGGACATCTGCAAATTCATGGTATTGGTACTGTCCCTGCAGAGACTGGTGCTCCCAGATGGCACCTTAATGGCCCCTCTGTTCTAGTCAACAGCATAACTAAAGTAAACTCTGTTAAAATGCTCATTGAATGAAGCCCTTCCTGGAGACCAGGGGGGCCTTAATGTCAAGAACATGTCTGTCCGAGATTTGTCGTGGCACCGCAGCTGGTGACGGCAAAAACGACCCACCATTGGAAGCAGCAGGCTTTCCAGCTCAAGTGATCATCTCGAACCGTCCAGGCCAAATCAATGCTGGCTATGCACCTTGCTGGATTGTCCCCTAAGCTGCTGTTGCTCACGGGCTTGTTGAGCTGGAAGAGAAGATGAATTGTCGTTCTGGGAAAGAGCTGGAAGATGGCCACGAGTTCTTGAAATCTGGCGTTGCTGCCATTGTTGATACAGTTCCTGGCAAGCCTGTGCATGTTGAGAGCCTCTCTGACTATCCTCTGCCTCATTTTGCTATTCATGACATAACACAGATGGCTGCTGTGGGTGTCATCAGAGCAGTGGACAAGAAGGCAGCTGGAACTGGCAGGGTCACCAAATCTGTGAGCTCACACCGCCAAATGGATATTGTCCCTCATACCACCACCGCAGTCGTAATCAGTGGTGGAAGAACGTCCCAGAACTGGCCGTTTAAGTTTAATAATAAAAGAGTGGTTCATGTTAGTGCCTCGTAAAACCATCGGAAGGTAAGGAAAATGTTTTGTGGACCATTTGGGGTGTGTGTGTGTGTGTGTGTGCGCGCATGTGTGTGGTAGTTTCAACTTATTAGTTTTTAAAATCAGTACTTTTTGATGAAAACAACTTCATCAAAAATCTGTCACAGAATTTTGAGACCCATGAGAACAAATTTTAATGAGAAAACTGTATCTTCTTTTGGCCAACGCTATAAATCCCTATAGTGCTACTGAGGGAAAAAAATAAGAGTTGTCCATAATCTGTTCCTGTTGTTCATCCGATGAAACTTCAAAATTTGATAATTCTGGATTAATATTTCTTTGTGGGGTGGAAATTTATTTTGTTGGTTTTTGTTATTTTTTTTCACATTGTTTGAAAGGATGAATCATCTGTTTTTTAAGGACATGGTAAAAAGTTCTATGGCGGCAACACTTCATAAGTTTGGACAGAGAAGCAAAGATTATCTTTGTTTATAGATCAGCTTGTTATAAGACGGCCGGACTCTGCAGTACTGAAGTTCCATGTGTTGCATATCAAATTTTATGTGGCTACGTCCATCTCGAGTACATATGTTGGTATAATCTCAAATTTTAGTTTCCCACTTATGTGGGAAACATACATTCTCACATCTACAAATACTAAAGTTGTCCAAAGAACCCAAAGTGGGGAAAAATAAAAATAAATAAATTTTTTAAAAAGAATCCAAAGTGGGAAAGTAAAATTGTATTGAAGACTATCCTGCTAGGGTTCATTGTATCTAGATTCTAGAGGAAAAAAAGCTACTGAAAGTTGGAAAACAAAAACAAACAAACAACAACAACAACAAAACAGAGAGAATTAAAACTCAGAACTAATTTCCTCTCCAGGACGCTGTCCATCATGCACGTGACTGTCACGTTGTACGAAGCCAGTGTAGCACAGGTCATTGTTTGATGTCCTTGGTGACTTTTGTCAAGCATTTGCTGTTTAAACTGGATGACATCCCAGGTCATCCTGACTCCTAAAATCTAGGCAAGACTGCTTGTGGTCTCCACACACTTCAGTGTTGGGAGCTGGGTGCCCTCTCCACGACTGCTGTGTGTCCCCGGGGGGCTGTGTGCTCACGACCACCTCTTCATCCTGCTGCCCTTTTGTTCTCTTTGCTTCTGGTAGCTTTTTCTTTTTTGCCATTTGGGTTCTTGAGGTACTGTCCTTAGTTTTACACACAAACTACAAATTTTCACACAAAAGCTTCGTGTAGCAGAGTTTGCAGAAAGTTCAGAGAAATTAAGAAATAGACGGGGTTGCCTTGCTGACCCTTAAGCCATTAGAATTGAGTCATAGTCACCCTGTTCTATGAGTCTTTTGGCTGATTTCCATGTTGCTCAGACATTCTCTTTCCTTTCTGTTCCCTCCTTCCCACCACCACCAGCTGTTTTTTAAACACAAAGTGATCCCGCCCTCCATTCGTTCTGCCCAGACTTCTGAATCCTGCTGTACACCTATTTTTTTTCATACTCCAGCGCTCCAAGGAGCTTTCTTTATTGAAGACCATTTATTCCCAAAAGGAATTCTACTATCAGCTGTTAAGAAAACAATACGATTTTTTTTTTTAAACCACCCACCAACGATACCACATGTTCTGAGGAGTACTCACGGAGAAAATCTCTCAAAAAGGAGCCAATAAAATAGGAAATAAATGCACATAACTCAGAATTCTCTAGGGCCTTGCCACCTTACAAGAGCAGAGACCACACATGGGGCGTGTATAAGACCTCGGTCTCTACAACCTGCTCACCTTTGCCCAGGAACCCCGAGCCTGGTGTCCTGACAGACAGGAAGAAGGGGAATACAACAGAAATGTGCCTGGTACCACTATGAAAATGATCTGACTTACTATCTGAGGGTGTAAGGTACCTGGTGGCAAAGAAGGGACAGTTACTAGGATGACCACAGGCAAAAGGCAGCCCCCACCCCGAGGTTTCAGTCAGCTAGTTATGTTCTGGGCTTGAGTCACCAGGGTTCAGTGGTAACAGCTAACCGTCTTCTTGTTTCATCTATTTTAGCCTTGCTCTCCTCCCACCCCCAAAACTCTAGGGTTCTCTGGGGTTTCCATTTCTGACCAAATGGAAAGTGTTAACACTCAGAACGCAACCGACAATGGAAATCCGTGTACCTTCATGTGAGTACGTCTCTGCTATGAGCAATGAGAAAAACTAGTCAAGTCAGGGCAAGATCAGTTGTGCCCAAGTTTTAAATCACGCTGCTTCCCTGCCACTCCCCAACCCCATCTTCCATTCCTCTTTCTGCAGCTTCCAACCCGAAGAGCTCCGAACTCAGAAAGGCTTTATTCATAAAGTTTCTAGTGATGTCATCTGGTGGCGAAGCCTGACCTGCGCAGATGCGAGGGGTCTTGTGGTCTTTCTTGAGGCCCCCCCCACCGGGAGCGGTCAGGTGTTTCCTGCGCAAACATGAAAAGACTTGTTTACAGGGTGTTCCTCCAAGCTCACCAAGGGAGGGCCCCCAAATTTTGGAATGTAGAACGTACCTCTCCGAAGTCTGAGACTTTCTGAATTCCAAAACACTTCTGGCCCCAAGGGTTTCAGAGGAAGGTTGTGTGTCTTTACTGGCATCTGTTAGAGGAAACGGAGCAGTCGTGGCTGCTGGGGGAGGCGTGGATGATTCCAGGGGTCCTATTTTCAGACGGCCTCATCGGAACTTGTGGCCTCTCAAAAGGAGAGAAGACTTAGATCCGGGACTGTGTTGTAGACACGTGGAGTCATGTGGAAGTGGTGGCGAGTGACAGTATCTGGGAAACCCCGCTGAGTCCTTCGGCCCAAGCAAGACTGCCTTTTGGGGCCCGCGGTCCAGCCGCTCCCCACCACCTACAGCGCTGACGGATGAGGGCAACACAAGAAGGTCACAGATGTTTGAGTGGATGTGCCTTCTTTTTATTTTAAGAAATAGGGTCATCAGGGGACACCTGGGTGGCTCAGTTGCTAAGCATCTGCCTTCAGCTCAGGTCATGATCCCAGGGTCCTGGGATCGAGCCCCACATCGGGCTGAGTTGGAAGCCTGCTTCTCTCTCTCCCACTCCCCCTGCTTGTGTTCCCTCTCTCACTGTGTCTCTGTCAAATAAATAAATGAAATCTTTAAAAAAAAAAAGAAAAGAAAAAAGAAATAGGGTCATCAGAATTATTTTTTCATTGTTCATTTAATTTTCAGAAAAGGGGTTATTTTATTTAAAAAAAAGTTTTTGTGTATTTATTTGACAGAGAGGAAGAGGGAGCACAAGCAGGGGGAGCAGTAGAGGGAGAGGGAGAAGCAGGCTCCTCACCAAGCTGGGAGGCCGACTCGGGGCTCCATCCCAGGACCCTGAGATCATGACCTGAGCTGAAGACAGATGCTTAACCGACTGAGCCCCCACAGGCACCCAAAAAGGGATTATTTTAAAAGGGAAAAGGAGGAACGCTTGGGTGGCTCAGTCAGTTAAGTGGCCAACTCTTGATTTCAGCTCAAGTCATGATCTGAGGATCCTGGGATCGAGTCCCACATGGGGCTCCATGCTCCATGGGGAATCTGCTTGAGGTTCTCTCTCTCTCTTGCCCTCCCTGTCTCCCCTCCATGTTCTCTTTCTCTCTCTGTCTCTCTGTCTCTGTCTCCCTCTCTCTAAAATAAATATATAAAAGGAAAAAGGAGACCAGAGGTGAGTTACTAAAGTGGTTCTCAAACTTGGCAACACATCGGAATCACTTGGAAAGACTTTGAAACTACTTTTTCATAAAACCAACCCAGCCCCACTGAGGAAGGAGTCTCTGCAGTGGTCCCAAGGCACCTAGAGTTTGCAGAGTGCCCCCAGGTCGTTTTGATGTGGGGACAAGGTTCAGAACTACTATCTTAAAAAAAATTTTTTTTCATCTTTAAAGAGGGAGAAAGAAAAAGACCTTCTCCCTATTTCTGTAGAAGGAATGAAAGTGCCTCAGATCCAGAAAAACCCAAACAGGGTGAGGAGCACGCTTGGCAGTTCTTGTTTTAGTCACATGTGCTAACCACACAAAGGAAGTTTCTTTTCTGTGAAAACTATCAGTTTCTCTTTTATGCTTAGTGTTCGCCATCCTAGACCCATAAAACACTTCGCAGCCGATGATTTCATCTTTCCCATTCCTGAGGGCGTGGATGCGCCCTGAGTTTATAGACTGTCAAGGATGAAGGGAACGTCTGCTCTCCGTCAGAGAGAAAACCAGCTTCCCACGTACTCTCTGACGTGCTGGACAGAACGTAGAATCGATGCCTTGACTGGGAGCCAACTTCTTTCTCTTTCTTCTGCTGCAGCATCTGCACAATGACGTTTACCTTCCTCATCTGTATGCTCACGGAGTTTGGTTCTCTCTTCTTTTTGTCCGAGCCACCCCAAAATGAAGGCAGTGTCGCAAGCTAGTCTCTGTCATCTCTTCCATTAAATATGGCTCCGCAAATGCTTTCTCTTTGGTTCCTGTCTATCACCATGAGGGTTTGGTGTCTTTGTGGTATCGGACGGTTCTCTTCCTCCTCTGCCTGGGGCCAATGACTTGCCAAACAGGACCCGCAGTCTTCGAGTGTTGTCCAATCAGACATACCTTCTGAACCATCATTTTTCTCTCTCCCTTTGTATTTTCTTCTCCCTTCTCCCTCTGCAGGTCTCCTCCTCTGGGAGGCTGCCTTGATTTCCCAGTTTAAACCGGGTTCCATGTTCCTCAGGCCATCATGTGCTTCTCTTTGAGAGCTCTTGTCACAGTGTAACTTGATGTTTATTTAATGTCTGTCTTCCTACTGGAAGTCAGGAAACAAGTCTGGCCTTTTGTTATTGTTGTTTTCTGGTTTGGCTTAGTTTTTGCTTTTCTTTTTTCACCAAAACATTGTCTAATGCTAACACAGAGTGGGTGATAAATACCTCTTCGCCGAATTGATGAATTACATGCTCCAAAGACTCAAGTAGGCTGGGGCCATTGGATATATTCACCCGAAGGTCACTATGGACTTCAGGATAAGGTGTCAGCGAAAGCAGACGTGACTAGCAAAACCAGAAAGCAGTAGACTGAAGGACGGGGAGCCCAGGGAAAGGAGGCGCGCAGCAGGTGCCGTTATCATGGTGAAAACAAAAGCGTGGAAACTGCGGAGCTTTAATCAGTGACTCAACCAACATGAACATTTATTGCAGAGCAGCACATGCTACATTTGGATCGTTGTGATTCAGAAGGAATACCTTGATGATGTTTGAAAGGCTGTAGCAAATGCTTCATTGCAACTTGTTTTGTTGGCATTTATTTAAATGCCAGTAAAACTCTCTCCCACAGATATTAAATTTTATAATTAATCATTCATGAAGTCTTCTTTAATCAACTTTTCCTTAAGTATTTCAGATTCTTGTCAGGCCTATTCATTTCCCCTGTGAAGATCTAAGAACTGGTTTTAGGTGATAAATTGACTATGTTCTCCCCGAGCGCATTTTTCTTAAGCGTTTGAAAACATTCATCTACATTGATCGGAGCTGTGTGGTGGGGCCCAAGCCACAGTAAACACAGTCTAATGAGCAGCATCTGTCAACCCCTATGCGAAGGATGTCAGGCACACTCAAGTTCCTTGCATTTTTATGATAAAATGAATTGATCTATGCTATTCGGTGAGTCAGTCAGCCAACACTTGTGTGAGCGCCAACCACCAGTCACGTCTGGGAATAAGATGGTATAGACCATGCTATGATGTGATTGATAACACTGTGCCTGCCCTCGTGGAGTGGATAGTTCAAGTGAGGAGAGAGACATGAGCGCAGATAGGAGTTGTGCAGAGTTACAGCAGCGGTCATGGAGGCAAGTATAATTCACGGAGAAAAGGCTGGAGTTTGGGATGCCGGGGGATCCGAGCAGTGCTCTGACTGGAGCTGCATCTTAAAAACTGAGTAAATAAGGGGACTGGAGTGGGAAGAGTCACGGGGAGAAAGGGCGGCCCAAACATGATGAAGACACGAAGCAAAGACGCAGGGACATGAAACAGCATGTTCGCCTCGGACATGCTGGTTGTTAGGCATCTTGCAGGTCGTTAGGGGGACCCAGTGGAAAAGGAAACAGGAGAGACACGCAGAGACTGGATCACGGAGGGGCTTGAGGGCTGTGCTAAGCAATTTGGATTCTATTCTCTTGGCAAAGTATGGCCTCTGGAGTGTTCCAAGGAAGGAGGGGTGGCTTGGTGAGATAAATATTTTAGAGAGTTCACTCTGGCAGTTTAGAGACTGAATTAGCCAATTGGGGCCCTAGAGACATTTTATTCATTTATTCAAATGTTTTTTGTTTTGTTTTGTTTAGATTATTTATTTATTTATTTGACAGACAGAGATCCCAAGTAGGCAGAGAGGCAGGCAGAGAGAGAGGGGGAAGCAGGCTTCCTGCTGAGCAGAGCCTGATGCGGGGCTCGATCCCAGGACCCTGGGATCATGACCTGAGCCGAAGGCAGAGGCTTTAACCCACTGAGCCACCCAGGTGCCCCTATTCAAATGTTTCTAAAGCATCTTTTAAGTGCCAGATACTGTCCTAAGCTTTAAGAATACAGCAACGAACCAAAGAGACAAGATGTCTGCTCCCACAGAGCATTCTAGCAGAGACATACAATAATCAGAGAAGTGAACAGATAAACAAGAAAAACGAAAGCTAGTGTCATGCACTGTGCAGATATGAAAACAGGCTGATGTGAGAGAGAGCAGCCAATGGCTATTTTAAATAGCATGGCTACGAAGACCTCTCTGAGCACAATCGGAATGACGAGGGAAAAGGTGGCTCTGTACCCTGGGGGCAGGCCCTTCCCAGCAAAGGATACAGAGGGTACAGAATCCTTAACACAGAAAAGCTTAGCCAGCTCAAGAAATGGGAAAAGTTGGCTCTGTACCCTGGGGCAGGCCCTTCCCAGCAAAGGATACAGAGGGTACAGAATCCTTAACACAGAAAAGCTTAGCCAGCTCAAGAAATGGAAAGTAGGCAGCTGTACCCGGAGAATAGCAGCAAGGAGGTAAGGTAGGAGATGGGGTTGACCAGGTCCACCCAACTAGAGTTCAAAGGCCGTGTGACCCAGACATAGGAAAATGTGTTTGAATTTCATTTTGAAGGCGATAGGAAGTCACATATATAAGTCACTGCCTAGTTTTAGGCGGGTGAGTGATCTGTCCAGGTGTACATTTTTAGGTGATCCCTGCCTGCTTCGTGGAGGGTGGACAGGCACAAAGCCAGGTGAAGTCAGAAAGCAATTATAGTTGTCCTTGCGGGAGAGACTCAGGGGGACGAATGTGATGCTGGTGGAGACAAAAAGAAGCAGATGTTTGTGTGCGGAGGTGAGAAGCCCTGGGTGATGGGTTAAATAGGGGGAACGGGAGACAAAGTGGCATCAAAGAAGACCACTGAATGTGTGGCTTGTGCACCGAGTGGATGGCGGCAGCGATTACCGAAGGAGGAGCAGATCTGAGAGGAGAAAGGGGGAATTTCTGTTGGGCCATGTGCAATCTGAGGTAACTCTTGCATCCAAGTGGAGGTGACAAGTTGGCAAAGGGAGTCTGTGTCTGGAGTTCCAAGGAGAAGTCAGAGCTGTAGATAAAATCACCCCCTGAGCTGTGGTGAAAGCCCCCCCAGACTGGATGGGAGGGAGACGGTGTCCCTGGGGCAGAGAAGGGTGCCCAGGAACCAGCTCGGGCTGCTAAGCAGTTGTGAATACAGTTTTGAAAAGATACTGTGGAATCCTAGAAACCGGGAGAAGAGCAAATGGCTTTAGAATATGATTGGGAGTGGAAAGTAAGACACCGTTATAAGACACAGGGTCTCTTTTGCAGCAAGCTGGCTTGTCTGCGTCTCTTGACCATCTCTGAGACCTTAGTGCCATCAGAGTGTCTGTCCAGTACAGGGCACAGTGCAGTCACTAAATAGATCTTGCTGAGCCTAAATCTCAGGCAAGAAGCCTGGGCTGGAGATTTATACAGGCATGGGAAACTTCAGATTGAAGTCATGGGAGTGGGTGACTGAGATTGAGGGGGGTGGAATTCCTGCAGAGTGAGATCAAAGCCAAGGACAGGCGGAACCCGGAAAGTAGCAGCATGTACAGTGTTGAGCAGTGGAACATGTAGCAACATCCAGCAATGGAAAACAGTAGGAACGCTCAGCCCACAGGAGCGGAGCCAGGAGGGCGTCATGGGGGGTGGCGGGTGGGGGAAGCAGAGGGCAATGCTGCGGAGAAACAGAGTCTGCCCGCAGATGCAGGGAATGGGAGAGTAAACGAGGGAATCTTGGTTGTAGTGGGGGAAGAAAAGGTAAAATATCAAGAAAGTTAAGTGTGGCCATTCTTTCAGGAGATGGGGAGTTACACTTTAATAAGTATAGAGTTTCAGTTTTGCAAGATGAAAAGAGTTCTGGAAATGGAGTGCGCAATAATGTGACTGTACTTTACACAACTGAGCTGTATCGTTTGAAACGTTGAAGATGGGGGCACCTGGGCGGCTCAGTGGGTTGAGCCTCTGCCTTCGGCTCAGGTCATGATCTCAGGGTCCTGGGATCAAGCCCCGCATCAGGCTCTCTGCTCAGCAGGGAGCCTGCTTCCTCCTCTCTCTCTGCCTGCCTCTCTGCCTACTTGTGATCTCTATCTGTCAAATAAATGAATAAATCTTAAAAAAAAAAAAACTAAAATATTGAAGTTGGGAAGTTTTATGTTATTTTGCCGCAATTAAAGAAACACTTTTTAACACAGGTGAACAATAAAAGTAGAACAAGATCGAAGAAAAGGGACCTCCTTGTTCTGAAGCTGAGCAAAAGAGGAGAAGCAGATGCTGAAGAGGATAAATTTGCAGACACCAGTGCAGGACGTGGAAAGAAGAGAGTCCCTTAACCTCCCGTTTTTCGCTGAAGTATGAGGTGAGGTCATCGGTTAGGACAGGAGGGCGGGCAGGGTTCACTCCCGTGTCTGTTATCCATGAAATTTGAGGGAGGCAGCATCGTGAGATGAGTTTGCATGCTTTCCCTCTCCTCTCCTGCTGGACATTTCCCCCCACCAAGTGTGTAACGTGCTCTTATAGTTGGTCAAGGAGAATCTCATTTTGCACAGAATCCCCAGTCTTGTAATCGAGACTCTTCAGACTTCTGTCAAAGTCAACGTGCAATTTTTTTCTTCTCTGGTTACGTAGTATCAGTAAGATCATGATTTCACAGACAAGTCATCTTTTTAAAAATATCTTCTTTATCTTCATTCCAATATAGTTTGCAGACAGGGTTTTATCAGTTTCAGGTGTAGAATGTAGTGATTCTGTACCTGCATATATGTCAGGCGGTGCTCATCACGACAGATGCTCTCCTTCATCCCCATCACCTGCCTCACCCCTCCCCCACCACCTCCCCTCTAGCCACCATCAGTCTGTTCTCTGTAGTTAAGAGTCTGTTTCATGGTTTGTCTCTATTTGTCTCTTTTTTCCTTTGCTCGTTTTTGTTTCTTAAATTCCACATATGGGTGAAATCATATGCTATT